CATCAGGCAGAGGAGGAGCTGCAGGGCGATCCCAGTGAGGGCGGCGCTCCCGTGAATCCAGCCAATCCCGGGCCGCGTGGTGAAGAGATATTCCCAGAGCGCGGGGCGACCCTGGCGCTGCGCCAGCCTGACTGAACAGAGACACGTGGGCCTGAGAGGGGTGTGGGAACCTCAGGCCTGGGGGCTGGATCCAGATCCCTAGGCCGGGCACCCCCCCACCAGTGCTGGGAGCTGTGCTGCCACTTCACCCCACAGCCCCCACGGAGCTGGGGTGCCAGCGCCAGCCCCCCACTGCAGGGGAGGAGCCCTGAGCCTCGTGGGCTGGAGCCAGGCAAGCCAGAGCCGGATCTGACCCATGGGCTCTGCTTGGCAGGGAGGAGGAAGCCTAGGGGGCCCCCCAAATCTCCCAGCCTGGGCCCCCCTAGGCTCTGGCGTGTGAGGGGAATGTGGGGAGGGTCTTTCTCCTTCTCGGTCAGGGGCCACGTCAGTTTTGGTTTGGGGTTTTTTTGCTTCTCGCTTGTGCAGCCCCCGACTGATATTTCTGTGGGTCAGCCGTGGTCCTCTGACCCCGTGACACTAGCCCTGGTTGCTGTGTCCTGAGCCCGCATTCCAGGGTCAGTTCTCCTTGCTTTACAGACATTAGTTATAAAACGCGCTGTTTATGCACAAAACGCCCACGCCCGCCTTCCCCGCAAATGCCCCCGGGACTCGGTGGGCGCTGAAGTCTGGATTGCTGGATCACTTTCCACGTCTCACTCCAAATGGGAGTTGTCCGCAGCGGCTGCACCCAAGCCCTTGAGCTAAAGAGAAAGGCCATTCGCTGGTAGCAGTAGAAAGCTCTTACCCCTGGAGGGGGACAATGCCCGGTGAACCAGTGGATTATAAAGAGCCCCTCCCCTTACTTGACACCGTACACAATTTTTAGCAACGGGAAGAGGGAAAGTTAAACGTCTCACTCCAAATGGGAGTTGTCCGCAGCGGCTGCACCCAAGCCCTTGAGCTAAAGAGAAAGGCCATTCGCTGGTAGCAGTAGAAAGCTCTTACCCCTGGAGGGGGACAATGCCCGGTGAACCAGTGGATTATAAAGAGCCCCTCCCCTTACTTGACACCGTACACAATTTTTAGCAACGGGAAGAGGGAAAGTTAAGTGTGGCTGGTCTCACAAGCGGCACCTGCCTTAAATCCACTGCTGCAAACTTTGAACGTTGAAACGCCCCCGCCCCCCGCCATAGAAAGATGGAATCCGTGTTGCCTCTGCAGCCTCACCGTATCTCACTGACGGCCTGCTCTTGCTGAATCTACATACCAGGGGTGGCCAAACTGTGGCTCGTGAGCCGCATGCGGCTCTTTTACAGTGAAAGCGCAGCTCCTCAGAGCCCCCCACAAAACTGGACAGGGGCAGTTGAGAGCTTCTGCCCTGTGGCGGGGGCGGGGGCGGTGGGGGAGAAAGACC